GAATCTCTATGATATTTATGTACAACTCCTATGATAGTTTAAAAAGGAAAGCCGAGAAAAGAAAACATGCACATTTGAACGTTATCATATTTTAAAGGATTTTTAATGAAAAAACTCCTCAAGTATTGTTTTATCCATTTTAAACCTCTCAACTAAATTATTAATGTAAAAACCCATCAAGTAAAAGAACTCCTCAACTAAAAAACTAATGAAAAAATCCCTCAAGTAAAGTTTCAATAATAAAAAAAACCCTCCTTAGATAGTACTGTCAAAGACTCAAAATACTAAACAATTGCAATTAAATAGATACAATGAGATATGATTTGTTAAAAAAGTGACATATATATTTTATTTAAACATTAGAGAATACAATGTTTGTTTAGAAACAACATTGAAAATACAATACAACCAACTGAAAATTCATGTATAAACCCCAAAATTAAGAGATTTTAAAAACAATCAATCAATACGTGCATAGTATCGATTTAATGGCATTTGTTTAGTATTTTGAAATTACTATCAAATGAGGGGTTTTTTCATTGAATTTTTAGATGAGGGGTTTTTCATTAAAATATGTTAGGTGAGGGGTTTTTATATTTATAATTTAGTTGAAGGGTTTAAAATGGATCAAACAATACTTGAGAGGGTTTTTTTTATTAAAACCAGCACAAAACACACACACAACGTTGGTAAAAATTTCCTTTTAAATCATTTTAATCATAATTTGGTTATTTAAAAAAATAGATAGCTAGACACATCGTTGGTAAATTTCCTTTGTATATGTATAACCCAGTATATGTATAACCCAGTATTTTCTTTGTATATGTATAACCCAGTATACTGGTTGTTGGAGGTAAATTTTGTTCGTTACAACCCGCATAACCTAACCAGCGTGCATGTCGTGAAGTAGAATCGCTTAGGGATTAAGAGCATCTCCAATGGTGTAGAGACATATAGAGTCTCTTCCCAATATAATAATGATAATATTTTTAATATTTTTTAATTGAAAAAACTTATATGTGTTTTTCCTTCCAATGGTGAGAATTTCATATAGTCTCTTACAAATAAAATAGTAACATAAATAATATAGCTTATTATTATTATTTTAAAAAACTATTTCATTAGTATTTTCAAAAACATATCAAATTACATTTAAATATATCTATTTACAAAAATTAATTATTTGTATTTTTTATCATCTATAATAATATATGTAATCTATTAATTTAAACAATCTTATTAACAATATTAATAATGTAAGCACAAAATTACATAACATAAACTTATAAATAAATACAAATTTAAAATGCTAGAAAAGATAACATATTGAAAATTTCAAAATATTTTTTTTTTAAATCTCATATTTTCTCATATATTAATATAATTATATTAACTAAAATGTTACTAATTTCATATTCTTGTATCAACTTTAATTAATATCAAGTAAAATTAATATTAATATATAATTTTAAAATGTGCATAATGAAACTTAATAAATAGATAATGAGAAATTTCAAAAATGCCACTTTTCAAATGTCACTTTACAAAAATGTTACACTTTTGAAATCTTTACAAAAATACCACTTTTTCAAAATTATTTTTTCTTTATATTATTTATGTTTGGGTTAATTATATTCTATTAGGGTTTAGTTATGAGGGTTTATGGGGGTTTAGGGGTCAAGACATTT